AACTGAGTTTTGTCTTCTCAGACAATGAAGAAAAAAATGTCCAAAAACCAGTGGTTTGCGTGATGTGTGATTCCAAACCAACCAACCAACCAATCAATCAATCAACCAAAATCACTCAGCCTGCTTAGCAAAAGAAGTGACTTGCATACATATATTGTAACGATAACCAGCACATATAATGTCTCAAAAGTGAGGGCCTAATAAGCAAAATTAATGAAGAAAGTAATGAATGTTTTGGTAAATGGCATAGAAAGAAGTTAGATAATGTTTACCTTCCCTAAATACTGTTTTTAGTTAGCACCAGGATACTTCCTCTGTAGCTGTTTGGAGTACAGCTTTGGAAGGGCTCCTTTGATACCACACAGCACTGTGGGTGACAATTCACCTGTCGGCACTTGACATTTTGGAGGAAAGATGCAACTTGAGACATTTCCTAACATGTGGCCCAAAAGGAAAAGCTTTTTGGGAGGGTAGGAAACTAAGAGTATACCCTCTGAAAGTAGTCTTCACCTGGCTGGCACAGTCACACTGTTTGTGGCAACTTGGTAAGTCTCTGAAGAGATGAGAAACATGTATTTGGTGCAGCAAAACCTTGAGATTTTTGAGAATGGCTGCATTCTGTATGCAGAGCCTGAAGAGTGGAGAGAGAGTGGAAGGGGGTGTGTGCGTATGTGTGGTGTTTGGGGAGGACTTTCTGCATGAGGGGAAAACTATAGCTACTGGCTGTAGGCATGTATCTAAAGTACGTCCTGGGATCACCTTTTTTTGTGATTTGTACTTTACTGTATCTGAGATTTTATACAAAGTCGAACTTTGCAGCCTAAATCTGCCTCTACGGAGAGTCCTTCTTTGCTTACTGGGTCTCAAAAACTTTAGTTGAGATAAAGGGCACTGTCAAGTTGAGCCATTTGAAAGACATAAGTTTATTTGACTGCAATGTCCTTTTACTGTATTACTATCTTTGCATATACAGAGAAATTTCTAAAATCTGTTTCAGATCAGCTCTTTGGGTTTCATGTTCCCTTCTTCCCATCCACAGCCCTTCATATAGCAATTCAGTAATAAATGCTCTCCTAATAAAATCTCTCAAAATACAGCTTATGTAAGCTTATTAGCTGAATGTGTATGATATGAATGAAAATGTATTTTAGTAAATGTATTACAGACACACAGCTTTTTCCCCATTTTTCCCTTCCCTATCCCCTCACATTTATCCGCCTGTTGGTGTGCTATACTCCTGTGACCTTTTGGCTGGCAGCAAGTGGGGTCACTGCGTGGCTGCAGCTGGGGCTTTAAAGAGCTCCTTTTGTATCTTCACTGCAAACTTTCAAACAGACCTCCTGCTGATTGTAGCCATTTTGTCTATTTTTAATTGTTCCTGCATATTTGGAATTTTTAATTGTTTCTGGATGTTTTAAGATACTTTAAAAAAAAAGAAAATTAAGGCCATTGCCATTTTAAAAGAGCACACATGCAAGCTGTGAACATCCATTCATGTGAGAAAGCAGAGATGTGGGGTTTCTTGCAGACAGGTGTTCTTACAGAGCACATCCTTTCCAGAATGTTACAGTCCTACTGAACCTATTGACTTGAGCTGCAGCTGCAGAGCAATGCTGCTGAAAGTTTGGTCCACAACAAGGCTTTTAAGGGGGCATTTAAATCTGTCAGAAGAGGTACAAGCACAGGGCTTGCAACTGGACACCCAAAACCCACCTTCAAGTTAAGATTTGTGGTTGAGTGCAGCATTCCTTAACATGTATATCTCCAAAAGGACTTGCAGGCCTACATTTTAGATACTTGTAAATGAACTCCTGGTTATATAACCGGTGCATTTACACGGACCACCTAGTAACAGACACCATCAGAAACGGTGTACGCTCACACACTGCTAGCATTTAGTCTCATCTCTTTGTGTCTTCATCAGTTCTAGTTTTCACAACTCCTCTGACAGAAAGCACAGCTAGGCTCTGTTCAGCTGTTGCACACAAAAAGCGGTTATTTTTGGAAAAAAATGGGTTTGCTAGGCAAGGGTTAACCTGTGGCCAGGGGAGGTGAAGGTTACAACAGTCAGAATAATGAGCAATGGCATTGCAGCACACATTATTGTGCTCACATATTATTCAATATTTAAAGATCTGGTTATTACAACATACAATTCAGTTCCTTTGTGTTGCCTCAGTGGGTTTGCCTCTCTGAGGATCAACAGCAAAGAGGCTGACTCCAGGCTTTGCCTCTAAGTACAATAATGTAAGTTGTTTTCTACAGCAATCTTCCAAGCTTCAGTGCTGTGAGTAGGAGAAGATGTAGCATGGAGTGTATCCAAAATAGGCTGTTTGGCATGTGTGCTTAAAACTATAAAGAAACTGATGCTATCTAATTACAAACATCATTGATTTTTGCATGTGTTGCTTAAGATGTCTCAATGCAGTCCTTCTTCCAAAATCTCCATAGTTTGCATAGTAAACATCTGTTTATGTCAAGCACTGGTGGCCACTCTTGTCTATTTCAACTTTCCCCGTCTTCACAACTTTGGGATAAGGTTAGGTGCAGAGTCCACCAAAGAGTGTAGCTTCAGCTAATATTAAGGACGCACATGGGACTGCAGGTAGTTAGGCAGATGTAAGGAGACAATCCACAGTCTGGTCTGGAGTCAGCACAACAACTTTAGTCTCCTTGTAGAACAACAGGTGGAAATGGACCAGAGACTGAGGAATCAGGCATGTTTTTTTCCCAGTTCTCTTTAGTCTAAGCTAGTGCACTTCTAATACCTGCACTGTCTTCTGATCAGACTAGTACTCCCTGTAAGTGGCCTCTTTCTTTTCCTCATAACAATGAACAATGACATGCCTGGTAAGTAACTTGCATATGGAGATGAGAATTTGTAAGTCCACTGTCCTTGCTGCTGAAATAGATCAAGGACTGTTAAGAGAACTGCAATTCCCTTTCTTCAAAAATGTCAACCAGACTCATAATGAAACTTTTCCGGAGAAAAATGAAAGAGAGAAGACTAAAGGGCTAAGGACATGTTTACAGTATATAGATGTGCTCAACGTACTAACCATGGACACAGTTTTACAGAATCAGACTCTACACTTAAAGCCAGTCCACAGGCTTCTGCCCAAAAATTTTTATTAGACTGGGAAGGTCTTCAACAGGAAAGTTTTTAAAAAACTACAGCTTGCCCACAAAATATTTCCATTTCTGAGGCCTAATATTTTTCCATATGAAACAATCTTCCTTGTTTTGTTCTGTTTTGTTGTACTTTTCAGAAGCAATCTTTGTTAGCCCTTAACCATCAGAAGGAACTAAAAACATTCCAGTTCTAACATCAGCAGCTGAAATGCTCTTGTCAGGCAGTTTAGAAATACTGAAGGGGGAGATTAAACATGAAATAAATGAAAGGGGCAGGAGTAGAGACAGGTGAAGGAGGGGGAAATAGCTGCCCAGCCTTTCTGTTTGGTAGGAAACAGAAGACCACTGAGTGCATGCTTACCCTTTCTCTTGCTGCAGCACCTTTTTTCTTGGCTTGTCATGTTTTCTCACTGCTTAACCTTGCTCAAACTGCCTTACTGTGAGTTGGAGAAATTTCGCCTCCATCTCCACTGCTCTTCAGGGCAATCTGTTGATTCTTTTTCAGGTTTTTCTTTAGTCATGCCCCCTTAACCCACCAGTGAAATAAGAGATGTCCCCAGACAGGAAATAGGGAAAGGAACACAGGTGGCTTTGGTTGTGGCATCTCTGTTGGCTCTTCAGAAGATGGAGGTAAGATGAGGCAACATGAATAAGTAAAATACATGTGACACCCTCTTCTTGTGCCTTTAAAAAAATTCCTTCCAATGTACCTGATCGAGGATTTATGATTTTTTGAAAGGTATTTATCAGTATGGTTGTGTAGGGTTAGAGTGAAGAAGGCCTACAAGAAAGATGAAGAGAGACTATTTACAAGAACACCTAGTTACAGGACAAAGGGGAATGGCTGCAGAATGAAGGATAGTAGGTTTAGATTAGACATTAGGAAGAAATTCCTGACTGTGAGGGTAGTGAAGCCTTGGAACATGTTGCCCAGAGAAGTTGTGGATGCCCCATTCCTGGAATTGTTCAAGCACAAGTTGGATGGAGTGAAAGGTGTCCCTGCCCATGGTGAGAGGGTTGGAACTAGATCATTTTGAATAAAGGTCCCCTGTAACCCAGGACATTATATGATTCTATGATTCCCTGATCATATCTGTATTTTGAAAGAAAATGTTAGGGGAGAAAGTTCAGTCCAGGTTTCTGGAGCATCTTGGTTTACAGAAAATATATTCGCAAGGTGGGAACCCCAATAAGATGAAATCCTTCCCCTCTTATTCCCCTCTCCCAATATAAAATAGAGACAAAAAATGAGGAGTATAAGTGAAAAAATAACTATTTAATAAAATACCAATAACTGCAAAAACACGAGGGGAAATGGTTTACTCACGAGAGCAAAGATCCACCAAAAACACGTGGTGCCCCCTATCTTCCCGGAACAAAAAGGGAAAACAAAGACAGTGGAGCGTCTTTCCCGCCGAACCACACCGCCCCTCCCCCCCATCCACTCAACCAAACAAAAGAAAACAAAGGGAGAACAGGGGCAAAAGTGAAAACTCGGGAAAAAACTGCTGCCCACAAGGACCCACCCTAGCAAACCGGCCCCTCCACACCACCTGGTTAGGTTCAGGTCTTAACTGATGTGGCGATACCAGTTCGGAGACTTTTTGTTCCCTGCCACGTGTTGTCCCACTTGGCTTGGCCGGGCTACCTTGGGAGGTAGCGATTTTGTTTCACTTTCGCTGTCTCTGATGTGGTGGTCCCGGCCCTGGCAGGGGTCCCGGCCCGGGCGGAAGTTCCGTTCGGCGAGCGGCGTGCCGGGGGCCGCAGCCATCGGGCGGGGGCGAGCAGCGAGCCGGGCGGCAGCGAAGAGGCGGGGCGGGGGCCAGGACTTCAGAGAATTCACACTGCTGCCACGACCGACGCAATAAGGGCTGTTTCCTGTTCCTGCTCCTGCTTTATTTTCTGTCCTGGACGCTGGGAGGAACCACCTTTCGGCAGCTCCTGGACACTGGAAAAACTCCGACCTGTGCAAACCCTCTCTCCCCTCCCCGTCAGCTCCCTCTTTTGGGGGGGAGGTGCGGCCCCTGGCCCCCTTCAGATGACATAATGGTATGAATATTCATCGCTAAAGTTTTCTCCCCATTTTGTAACTATAACATGGAGTCAAACAGATCAGGATATAGTTTACAAATCCCAGGAAAGTGTTATCCGAATGAGTGACTACAAGGATTGCTCATGGCTAATATTTCTACTTGCACTATGTAAGAACAAGGCTTATGTTTTCCTCATGCATCTCAGCAACACTTTCTTCATGCAAGAGCAACTGCTGCCGTTCTGCCTGAGCAGTGAGAAGTGTCAATAATAGCCACCATAAGCAGAAGGTATCAGTTCTCATCACTATGATTTAGATCTGTTTTCCCTTTTCTGTTTCTTCCCTTCCCTTCCCTTCCCTTCCCTTCCCTTCCCTTCCCTTCCCTTCCCTTCCCTTCCCTTCCCTTCCCTTCCCTTCCCTTCCCTTCCCTTCCTTCCCGAACCTTCCCCCGTCCCAAACCTTCCCAAACCGTCCCACACCTTCCCAAACCTTCCCAAACCTTCCCTTCCCAAACCTTCCCAAACCTTCCCTTCCCAAACCTTCCCTTCTCTTCCCTTACCAAACATTCCCTCCCTTCCCAAACATTCCCTTCCCAAACCTTCCCCTCTCTTCCCTTCCCAAACCTTCCTTCCCAAACCTTCCCAAACCCCCCCTTCCCAAACCCTCCCTCCCCTTCCCAAACCTTCCCTTCTCTTTTTTTTTTCCCCCATGTCCTCTTTTGGGCGAAAACCTGTGCTCTGTTCTTTTTACCTGTTTGCTGGAAGGTCCCACTTTCCTGCTCAATTTTTATTGATTCTGTTTGTTCTTCAAAGAAAACCAACTTCTGCAATAATTATTTGTTTGAGATGCTTTTGGCTGTTAACATTTTCTACTCAAAGAATTGCCTTATTCTTCGAAGCTGACAAAGCAATCATGGCTGGGCTTCGCGAACGAAGATTTGGGAGGGCTCTAACCACATTTGTTACAGGCACGTTGGTGACTTATGAGGCCAATACGAGATAGACATATCCGATTGCAAAAGGCACAGCAGAAAGACTCCTTAGATGGTGTATTCTGCAATACACGGTTCTTTCTGCATTGCCTTTTCTCCTCAAGAGTGATCCTGCGTGTGTTCTCGAAGGAGACAGCAGCGTTATAGATGGTGTGTCTCCAGGCCTCCCGATTGGAGGCCAGAGTAGACCAGTTATGGTGATCAATACGGCCAAGGCTGAGATGTTGTTTCAGGGAGTCCTTGTATCTTTTCTTCGGGGCTCCTCTCATGCAGCAGCCAGTGGCAAGTTCACCATAGAGCAAGATCTTAGGCAGGCGGTGGTCCTTCATCCTGGAGACGTGCCCTGCCCAACGCAGCTGTGTTCTCATCAGCATGGCTTCTATACTTGTGACTGCTGCTTGCTCTAGAACAGATGTATTGGTCACATAATCTGACCAGTGGATGTTTAAGATTGTCATTGTCGTGACCAATACATGACAAAGCAATACAGTATTGGGAAAACCTGCTTCAAAAGAAATAGCTGGAAATCATACCTTTCTGGTTTTATGTGGTACTTTTGGTATGCATCTACCACTGGAGAAGAGCAGGCACAGACAAGTGAAAATGTTCTGTTCATGACCTCCTGCCAGGCTGATGGCAGAGCATCAACAATCAATGAGCTTTTTGAGTAACAGACCAGCCCTGTTCATGCTGCTTCAAGGAACTTTATTACTGACCTCTTATCTAAGAACCTCTAAAGTCAGAGCATTAGTGAATTGAGACTGGATTTAATTCTAAAACTCATTAAATTTCATGAAACAGTGACCTTTACCAGAAGATGTCTGAGAAGATGAGAATAGCACACCAGTGTATATATTACTGAAAGAAGTACTGTATGCTGGACTACGGAGCCTAAGTACATCTTTCCCTGTTGTCCAACCAAGCACGTAACTTCTTCATATGTGCTGCCTAGATATTTCCTAAAGTCTTGCAAGGTCATGCCTCTGTGCTTAAAAATCTGGTCCCCATTAACTGGTTGTCACTCAGATCTGGGACTGCCTTGCTTAAAGGGCTGTTACCTTGTCTTGTAACTAGTCATCCCTAAAGAATACAACCAAAAAGTTATTGATGTTGAATTGCTCTTGCTGCTGTCACATTAATGACAGTGCTTTTATTTAGATATATTTTACACAGTATAATTACTTTGACTTGTAATTATCTTTCTGTTGTCATGAATTATTGTTTATTAGTTATCAAGAGGACAAATGCCAGTATTCATTAGAAGGAGCCATGACTGACCTGGTGGGAAGGCCCAGGGCTGACAAACCCATAATCATCTGTAACTTCACTTTAGTAACAGGCTTTGTGTCATCAGATGGACCACATAAATGTGTACAAAGCATTTCCCTTTCTAGGAGAACAAATGAACTGTTACATTTATAATGCAACTTCTAATCCAGGTATTTTTAATAAAAAGGCAGAGCATTTTACTGAGCAGCTTTATGCAGGTCGTGTGCAACAGACAGCCTTGGGCATCAGGCTGGGTCACCAGGTGATGGTGCATTTTAGGGGCATGCACGAAGCTGGTGTACTGGGGCTGTAGTGCTGTGGCCAACTGAAAGGAGGAACACTCAGGAAAGGATGATTGCTGAGGTGAAAGACACAGGAAACACTGTATTCTCATGGCCTCTGGAGAGAGGGGGCAACGGTGGCATTTCCAAGTGTATCATGTGGCATCTGCCCAGGTCTCAAAAGGCGTGGTGGGCCTCAGGAGGCATAATGGGCTGCAGTAATGAATCCAAACTTCAGGAGAGGGCAGGCTGAGGTGACCAGAAGTGGTTGTGAGGAGTACTTGGGAACCACAGTGGTGGTGAAACAAGCAATCTGTCTTTGGAAAGAAGGCAAAATGACTTCTACTGAGGTCTTAACTTCTGAAGAGAGACCACCAAGGGGCAAGTCAGTTAGTGCTGTGAATGTTTTATTGTGTGATCCCTCACAATTTCAGATAAATAGTGCTTATGTAGGTTGGAATCTAGCAAATGGATTATTTATGTCCTTCTCATGCCAGCTGAAATTTGGAGCAACTCTGTCTTCCCAGGAACTCTTTCTTCCTCACCCCTCTCCCTGAGTGTTGGCTAATGAGGTGGCAATCAAGAGTTGCAGTCTATTTATTTTCTTGTAGTTTCTTGAAATGCTTTGCCTAAAGAAGCAGGTATACCAGTTCCACAGGGCATCATGTACCTATTAGACAACTCTGGCCCAAAAGTCTCTCCTCCACATCTGCTGAATTTGTCTTCTCTTACAATGAAATTTACCCATGTTACCTTTTGGCCTTAGGTATCTGGCAGTAGAAAGGAGCTTTCTTCTTAGTAGTTTCTGACTTTGGAAAATATTAGGCACTGTTCAGGATACTCACCTCCATAACAAACTCATTTGTTTCTAGAAAGGAATAGGAATATTGGGTTGCTTGTCTAGTGTATACAGTTCTAGTGTATACTGGCTTTGGACTAATAACCCCCTTCCAAATCTCTTGAACAATTTTTCAGATAATCCATCAGCTACTACTGTGAGCTTGAGTATATCCGAAGCTGCACTGGTCAGCATGGGCTTGCAAACAGAGGAGCCAATGTGCAAATCAGTTGAGTCACGCTACATCTCTGCTGGCAAACCTTGTGAAGAAACTGCAGACAAATTTAGGAATATCCTTTCAGTCTTCCATGAACTCATCTTGTCAGGGCATGTGCTGCTGCAGGAATCATGAGGTAAGAGGCTGGACTCACCACCAAGACTGTCCGTTCTGCTGAATTCAGCCACGTAACACACTCTGAATGTGATATCAAGAGCTGTTTTGTTTTCTTTGTAATGTTTGTTGTATGGCCACATGGCCTGCAAGTCCAGACTGAAAAAAGATCTTTAAATATATGAAACAAACCACTTGCAAGCAGGCTGCAATTTAAAGCTCTGTATAAATAAGCGTAACTTATTGAAACAACTTCACATACCCATTACAATGGGAAAACTGTTGTCTTATAGATAGAAGTTCAAAACAGGGAGAGATTGAATGAATATTGTTACGGGTTAGTCACTTTGTCTTATTGCAGACACATTTAGTAACTAGAAATAGAAGAGGCTTTGACATGTCACACACAGAGGCAGTATCTTGAAATAACTCTCAAAATAATACTTTAGCTTTGATGCTGCCAGTATGAAACAACTCCCAACTCATTTCCTAAAATATTGGACACTGCATGACCTTGTAAGCCACAAAAACATAACTCTAATAAGTACCGTGGGCAACAAAAGTAATTTCATCACGATTTACAGATTTACAGACATTCGTCATGGCTTTTATTGGAGAAAATTAGGATGACTTATGGAGATAATTCCACGTGCCCTGTGTGTCAGCTGCATGTATTAGTGTATTAGCAAACTTTTTGAAGCCTTACCTAATGATAGAAAGACCACCTGAAGTGCAGTGCAAGCAAACACTTTCCTGCCCTCTCCTGCTGAGTCAGTGCACGGCATTTGTTTGCATATTTGGAGTGTGTCATGGTTTAACAGCAACTAAGCATCATAAAGCCACTTGCTTAGTCCTCCCTAGTGGAATGGGTAAAGTGAAAGAACTCCTGAGTTAAGAACAGTTTAATAGGTAGAGCAGAGTCTACCCATAAAGCAAAGCAAAACAAGGAATTCAGTCATCACTTCCCGTGGACAGGCAGGTGTTCAGCCATCCCCAGAAAGCAGTGCACCATCATGTGTAACTGTGACTTGGAAGACAAATACCCTCATTTCAAATGCCCCCTTTACTCCTTTTTCCCCTCTCTTTATATACTGAGCACAGCATCATATGGTCTGGGATATCCTTTGGGCCAGTTGGGGTCAGCTGTTCTGGCTGTGTTGCCTCCCAACTCCTTGTGCACCCTCTGCCCATTCTCTGGTGGGGTGGTATGAGTAGCAGTAAAGGCCCTCACACTGCTCAGCAGTAGTAAGAACATCCCTGAGTTATCAACACACTTTCCAGCGTGAGTCTAAAACATTAACGCTATCCCAGCCAAAACCGGCACAGGAGAAGAACCTGACCTAAACACGAAGCACTAATCTTAAGAGTTTTATGTTCTCACTGCAAATGGGGCTGTGGTGAGAAGTCTCTGCAGTGGCTGAATCTTAAACATTCTTACTTGGCAGCATCTTTGGGAGAGATTGTCACAAATATTGTCCAAGATGCCACTTTTTTTTAAAAGTATATTTGGGTAGATAGAGGAGGCCCTTGAATTCTGGAGAAGAATTATGGCTTTGAAGATGCTTCTTGAGATGTAGGAGATATAATGAGAAATTTTTAACATGCAGCGTGGCCCGAAGTGCCTACTGGTCTGGGCAACAAATCCTGTTTTAAAATAATTCCTCTCCTGACTCAGGTGTGAGAAGCTCTATCAACAGTAGCAACATTGGGAGCTCATTAGTGCTATCTATTATTATTCTTTCAATATTTGACAAATAAAAGGGTTCAACAAGAAATTTTGTTGTGTGTGTCTTGTAATTCCTACAATAGAAACAAATGAATAATAAATGAATAATAATAAATAAATGAAGCAGAAAAAAAATTTGTTCTCACTTGAGCCCTTAATGCTTTGCATAATGCTTGAATAAGGAAAAATATTTTAAAAAATTGTAGCTCTAAGTGAAACAAATATGTTCATTAACAGAAATACTTGATAGTTAAGGGCTGAATCAGAACTTCTGAATCACTATCAGGGGCTTGAATAACACTTGTGACAATTTAGGGGCTACTCCTTCCCAATTTAAACAAATTAAAAGCCAAATCTTTTCTTTGAGTGAGGAAAGTCTGGCCTGTAAAGCAAGCCATTACTTTTAGATAAAGTGTGAAATGAGAAATTCAGGTCTTTAATGAAAAAAAATGTGACTTTTATTTGTTCTTGTCTGGTTTAAGTTTGAGACTGCTTACACATTGGTTCTTGCACTTCATTTTAAGCAAAGAGGCTGAAGTTTATATGCTAGCCTACATAACAGCAGCAGGTCAGTCAGATGGTTTGCTGAGAATCATTAAGCAAACATTCATGAGTAATAAATAAATTGTTTCTTCCAGTAATAGCATTAAAATTCACAGTGTGAAGCTGGAAGGAAGCACCATATTCTCAGCAAAGCATGACACGTGTCATGCTTTTTAAAAGAGTTCTGGCTTCATGGTTTAGTGAAATCATTTAATGAAGGGAGAATGGAGAAGTCTTCTGGCCTCTGGGCAGCTGGACAACTACAGACTTGGCAGTGCAAGGTTAATGGTTGTACTTGATCATCTTAAAGGTCTTTTCCAATGTAAATGATTCTTATTGCATGATACTCTGCATCATCTGTTTGAAGAAAAGATACACATAACCATTACAAACACCATCTTCATCTGCCATTTCTACAACATGACTTGAAGTCTCTCTGCCACTGTTGATTTTCTATAAAGCACAAAGATCTGAGCCAAAACTGTGTCTGAAGCCAGAGCCTAAACAGAGGATACTTGAGGCCACTGCCTCTAGTTTAAGCCTGTGAATCACAAAGGCGTGGCTAACCCCTCAGCCAGAGGAAGCTGATCCTCCTAAGCCACGCCTCTGCCTGGAGCCCAAGAGCTTAGCTTCAGAAAGGTCTCCAATTTCTGAGAGAATTTCTGGGGAGAGATGCCCAGGAGGAGGCCATATCCTTGGATAGCACTGCTTCCACAGTCAGGGTCTGGTTTTGGCTGGGAAAAGGCTATCCCAGGCTCAGGTGCGATGAAGCTGCCCTACGGTTTGTACCTTCTCAGCCGTGTTGTCCAGATGTGAGCAGCAGGTGCAATGGACAGATCCTGAGAGCTCAGTGACGTGTATGGAAGTTTCCGTAAGGTTGGACATGAGCTGTGGCTGTCTATGGAGCACAGGCAGGATGGGTGGTGCAAGCTTAGGAGGGCCTGCTGGTCAATTGGGCTGTTCCCAGGCAGGTCTGTGAGGGTTGAACTTGAAGTGCTGGGGTAAGGTGAGAGCTGTAGGGAAGGTCTCTGCATGGTTGTACTGCAGAACAGAAGCCTTACCACCATTTAAACCCTTAGGGAGATTTTGCACCTACTTATGGGAAAATGCAGCAACTAACTCTGAAATTGCCTAACATCTCTATTGTCAGGGATGAACTGCAAAGTCCAACAAAAAGGGGTAATGTGTTCTGAAGGGCAGTCTTGGGAAAGATGCTTCTCACACAGAGGAGCTGTAAGGAGGCCATGTGTGGTGGGGGAAAACAGTTTTCCCCCTGAAGTTCTATAGTGATAAACCCCCAGAGGGGGTGGTGACCCTTGAGGTTTGAGCCAATGAGCGCTTCTGCAAAATATAAACATATCACAAGCAGACTGGAAGAGAAGGTGATGTTGTAATAGTTAGTTGGAGAGGTGGCCATGTTGTAGAGCCACGAGGAAGGGGCTCAGAGCCCCGCAGGGGGGCTCTGGCCCCCCCAGTCCCCAGTTGGGGGGCTGCAGGGACTTGGAACAGCGTAAGACTGGGCTAAGTACCTGTAGCTCTGAGCTGGAGGAAGTTTTCTCCACCGTGAGCAGCATAAGCGGCAGCAAGAACAGCACTGACGGAGGGAAGGTGGCAGAGAGCCAACAGATAAGAACTGAAGAAGCAGCAGAAACAGCACGTAGCCAAGGAAGAGAGACAGAGTTGTCTGAAGGAAAGAGAGCCAGCAGCAGAGAGAGCAGAACTAAGCTCTACAGAGAGAGAGTTTTGGGGTAAGAACTGAACCAAAACCCCCCAAACTCCTTGGAGACCCCTCCTAGAGGGAGGAGGATGATGGACTCTTACTTGAAAGAGTCTTGGAGTGCTACAGCACTGTGGAAAGGAGCTGAAAAGCTCAGAGAAGGAATGTGGAGGGGGTGACCTTGCCCCCGCCCCCCCCACTACTGCCAAGCTGGCAGTTTTGAGTCAGAGCACGGGAGCTCTGCAAAGGGGGCTTGAATCCCCTGAAGATACGGACCGTCACAAAGGCTTCTGTACTTCGTTAATATGACCGTGGTGAAGTGACCTTTGTCCAGGTGAACACAGCCCATGGGAGAGAAGACCCTCGCTTGGAGACGAAGGGCCAAGAGGGGCTTGGATACCCCCCTCGTGTGTACTGGCAGAGATCCAGCTACAGCTGCTGCATGAAGTGAGATAGGCTGCTGCCCTGAAGACACTGCTGCTCTGAGAGTGGAAAGGATCTTTTCCTTCTTCCCTCCTGAACTTTTATTTGGAAGGGAGAAGAGATTTGATCCATTGTAAATACTGTTTTGTCATGGTAGAGATAATTAAGACTGTGTGTGTAATGTATTGTAATATTTATTTTGCACACTCATTGTAATATATATATATATTCCCTTCCCCCCATTTTGAGTCTTGTGTGGTGTCTGGAAAACCCATCTCACACTGGGTTGAGATGTGGGAGGAGGGCTAGGATAGAGAGTTGGATTTGGGGCTCTCAAACCATGACACCATGTGAATCCTGAGCACTGGGCCAGCTGAATGCAGAAGCTTTCATGGCAGTGCTATGTGAGAAATGATGAGATCTGCAGAGTGCTGCGCTTTCCCACCAGCATCAGTTCAATCTCATGATGATTCAGCTTAGTCAGGGCTCTCTGTGTTTGGGAACAGTGCTGCTGCTGCTAAACAAAATAAACCTAATAAAACACAGGCATTGTCTGAACAGATCAAACTTCAGGTCCATCTGTTCCAGACTCTTCTCTCTCACATCAGTGAGACCATTCAAAGACAGTGGTGGAAAATAACAGCAAGCAGATGTGAAATAAGCTGCCCTGTTCCTTCCTTGCCACTGTATTAGGTCTCATTTTGGCCCACAGTAAATATTGGCCTAAGCACTAAAGTATGAGTTTTAATATTCCTTTCAAAATATTTTTCACAGATTATAACTCCAGCTGTTGTTAGAATTTCATTATAAAAGTCCACTCTTCTATTTAAGGCTTAATTTGATTCTTCTAAGTGATTTCAAAACAAATTTCACAGTGATCTTACTATAATTTATTTTTATATTTTTGTAACATTTTGACAAAATGCTATATGTGGCCTTGACATAGGAGCAGTAGCTAATATACACAAAAGTCTTTCTACTGTCCCCACAAAATTAGTTTTGAATCCAAATTATAAACAGTAAGTAATAGAAAAGAGTGACAGCAAAGCAGAGGGAATACAGGTCTCACTAACTCTGTCATACAGACAGCATTCTAGGTCACTTTTTTTTCTGCTTCTAAGACATAGCTTACTTTTTTACTGTTTTGCTTTTCTGAGTCCCCGAGTGTTTTAGGGGATTGCAGGACTTTTTAATTTCCTGTTGGTGGATACTATAGCGTGAAAAGTACAGAACAGTTTGAAAAATACAAGAACATTTACAGAAAGCATGATTTTTAATTGTTCTTTGTGGCTTTACTGCTCCCTTTTGTCTGCCACCATGTTAGAGATATGCTATTGTCAGGCTTTCCCCCCAAAAATTCAGTTTTTCCACATTTGTTATTTGTCTATACAATAACCTAGCAAAGCTGACTTCTTGTCTTGCTTGCTTGCTTGCTTGCTTACTTTTCTGTATTCCTTCTTCTCTCCCCAACTTTCCAACCACAAAATCTCTCTCTACGCCTACATTACATTCATTCCCCCTGACGGTAAATTCACATACAGAATTCTGCGTGGCAGGTTCTGACCAGGGCTGCATACAAATTAGCTTGTAGAATATTGCATCAAGTTAGGTAAAGAACAAAAGCAAACTGACTTCAAAGGGAATGCACCAAGTGGAATCTACAGTTACTATACACCAGCGGTTTAACAGACCCTATGTTAACAAAAAGAGAAACCACCTACGAAACAAGCAGTAATCAGACTCTCCTTTCTTTCTGTGATACATAGAAATTGCTTTTAGAACAAATCACAATGAAAAAGTAGCTCTTTAATATGTGTTTGGGTTGCAACCATTGCTAACAGTGCTTTCTTCTTCCTGGTATTCCACAGTAATTCACTGTGATTCCCTGACTCACCATGTCTGGACCAGTTTACAGACACAGAGAGGGAGAGAGTCTCAGCTGGCAAATCTGAATTGGCTGGCTATAAATGAAATTTGGCTAGCACCCCAAGGATTAGGTGCCTGGACAGTCTTCCTCTTGCTGGTTTTGGGGTTTTGTGCTTTTTTTTCCCCCTTTCCTCTTTTCTAGTCAGTCACTGATGTGTGTATATCTAGAAAAGACACAGTGAACTCACAAACCGTCTAGCATGTTCTCATGCTTGTTCTCCCTGTTTCTTTTTCTTCCTTTCTTTTGAGAGGATGCAAAGGAGTTTCAAAACAGAGAAAGGGTTAACAAGACTTTTAAAGTAATTTCCCCTCTCTTTTGCTCATCAGCTTAGTTGATTACAATGAGAAAGATCTTATTAAAACCATGTCTACTCTTCTTTATGAGATGGTGTGTATTAAAATGCTATTGCCACTTCAATGAGGTCTGTCCACTTGTGAGT